ATGCTCAGTCCTTCACAGTAGCAGTATGCGACACTAAGACAGAGCCATCTTCCCCCTGCAATCACGACAAAGTTAGCACCGTGGCTCTCTAAAGGTTAGAGCTTCCAAACACACTTGAGTTACATTTGCACCACACAGGGGAGAGCTGTCGCAACAAATAATTTCGGAGCGATTTTGCTAGTTATAATGTCAACTCTGCCAAAAATGTGGCAACTAACAGCTCAGCGTTCCTGCCACAAAACTATCACAAATCATCAACATGCTAACGGTGTCACCTGCCACTAAAATGTTGGATCACCTCTTTATCACACTGCTTTGGGGAGAGACAAAGCAAAATGCTGCGTGGATCCAGTGGTTTGCTGCTTAACAGACGCGCTGCCGCCACAGAGTTGCCTCTCTCTGCTGCAGTGACAGCGAGCCCGTTTTTTGTCAGGGGAGGCTGTCTAATCCACCACAGACGCTCATTTCGGAGTGCACAGCAGGCCATTTAGATGCAGATGTGACGCGGCTGGCATCGTGTGCCCAGCCAGTCCTCTCAAGTGAGGAACTGACGGGCCTGGAACGAAAGGTGGCCACAGTTTTTTCTTTCTTTCTTTTTATTTTTTTATCATTATTTCTGTCCGTCTTTGGTGGGACCCTGCAGTGTTTCTGCCTCTCATCAGATTTCATTCTGTTAGACAGCATGTCACACAGTCTCCTGTCCCCTTCCCTCCTCGTTCCATCATGGAGCACAAAGATGGAGGCGGGCAGGGAATACAGAGAGGCTCCTGCGACGTCACTGACATTGACATTACCTCTATGATCATTAAACCCAAATTGGCTAAATGAATTGCCAATTTGAGAGGCCTTAGTCACAGCATATTGGTGCGTGAACGCCTGTGTGTGCACATGGCGGGGTTTGTGAATTCTAGTGTGACGATAAGATTTTGTCTTCAGGTTTTTCTTTTTTTTTTTTTCTGTTTTCCCCCTGCGTCTCTTCATTTCTGTCCAACTACCTCTCTCTCACAATCTACACAAAAATTCAATAAGCTATTACACAGGCATTGATCTTGTTCTCACCCAAACATTTGCATTAGAAAAAAAGGCAGTAAGCTGACAGCGCTGTCTGTTCATTTTAGCGAAGAGAAGTAGCTGTAGATAGTGAGGCCTGGATTTATGGAGTTTGGCGGCTCTTTAACACTTTAACGCTCCTCAGAATGTGTCCAATCAATGCACTCCCTCCCTGCGTGGCTGCTGTAGAAGAGTCGTGGCGTTCACTTATCTGATGTCATTGTAAATCACTCAGGAGGAGGGGAGGTCAGGGAGGATGCTGCTACACTCACACCACAAAGAGTCGCTGTGAGATGGTGCAGAATACGACACTGAAAACAATGTGAGGAAACTTTAAATACATCGCTCTGCTGTGGGTGTCTGTGCTGTAAATAGAGATTTAGAATAAAGGACATGCTTTGACCTTTAAATTGTAATGTAGCGTAAAATGAGCTGCGGTTTTACCAGAAGCGCGTCAGGAATATAGTTCACTAACCACGGAGGAAACACAATGATGATACCTCTAAACCGGTCCACACAGCAGAGACTTTATTGTCTCACTACACGCTTTGTTACCCAAATCTTTAATTGCATCTAAGACACTTTTCCAGTCATTTTATTTTCACATTTAATGAAACTAACTAGAATCCACAGAATGTGACTGGTAACCTTGAATTTCAGGAAGGTTAAAGGATGATATTGTTAATAATCTGTATTTTACTTATTGTCAGCAAATCCAAATAAAAGACTGCAATCAAAAATGAATTGATTGCAATACTTATTATTTGTGTGGTGTCCTAGCTGTTGTCCAAAAACCATAAAAATACATAAATTAGCATGTTGCATTGGATTCTTTTTATATGACAAACTGCAGCTTCATTTGTGTCATTTGCACAAACACCGTCCTGCTTTAGTTTGACCCAGGACGTAGTATGTCCAATGCAGTATGGCAGAAATACCAGGATGTCCTACTACATCTGGTCTCATTTAGCAATATGCAAGCTAACATGTTTTTCTTCCCATTCTGACACACAATTCTATGCGTATCAGAGGATATGTTACATATGTCATGGTGTTTCGTGCCATAAATAACCTTGAGCTGCAGAGAGACAGCAAAGACAAAGGACAGCACATACACATATAACGCCGCCTTCCAGTTGCATCCTTTTTATTTTAACGTCAAATTTTGTGGTGCGTGCTGCAGCAGATACAATATAGGAGCTAAAGGGTTCAAATTGAAGATGCAGTGTCAAGACGAAGTAGTGTGCATACAGCGTGCAAAAGTATGCACTTTAACCCTATTCAGGACATGTTGCCATACGTAGAGGGTCTTTTGGGTTCTATTGGACCCCAAGAAAGAATATGTGCAAAATATTTGTTGGTATTCATTATAGGCTTTGATACTATGTTGAATACATTTTCTGATAAGTTGACATATTTGGTTCCAAATGTATGACAAATGTCTCTCTTTTTATATTACAAAAAAAATCTTCAAAAATAAACAAACAATACCTGTCACCTAAACCAAAAAGCTAGGTGTCAAAGAGACCCCAAAGTCCTTAATAGGATGAAGGGCAACTGTAATACACATCCATCCATTATCTATATACCGCTTAATCCTCATTAGGGTCATGGGGGGGCTGGAGTCTATCCCAGCTGACTTAGGGTGAAGGCAGGGGACACCCTGGACAGGTTACCAGTCCATCGCAGGGCCACACTTAGAGACAGACAACCAAGCACACTCACATTCACACCTATGGACAATTTAGAATCACCGATTAACCTCAACATGTTTTTGGACTGTGGGAGGACCCAGAGAACCCGGAGAGAACCCACGCTGCACGGGGAGAACATGCAAACTCCGAAAGATCCCGGTGCCCCCACCGGGACGCAAATCGGCAACCTTCTTGCTGTGAGGCAACAGTGCTACCAACTGTGCCACCTTGCAGCCCACTGTAATACACACTTAAAGTAAAATTTAAAAGTATACAAATGTGAATGTGGATGTTACTTTGACATGTACCACCCACCTAAACATCGTTACAGACCAAATACACAGCGGCCTTCACAGGCAAGACGATGCACCCTGTCACACGACAAAAAACTGTTCAGGGACAACATGAACACCACAAAGGGTCCAAGGTGTTGACCTGACCTCCAACCTCCTTAGATCGCAATATAATCAAAACAACTCCGACCCCTTAAGGCTCAACCCTACAACCCGTATGACCCAAAAGATTTGCGGTGAACCTTCTGGTGCCAGACACCACAGGACACCCACAGAGGTTCTGTTCATGGACTGATGAGTCAGCTGTTCTGGTGGCTAAACAGTATTAGAGGGGTAGTTTTAATGTTGTGGCGAATCAGTGTAGATCAGAGACACGAGATCTGATCACAAGTGGACACTCAAGACACATTCTGACGCCAGGTGTGAGCTGACGTATTTAGAGTCATCCAGTTGCTATCGGATCGCCCAAGACGCATGTTAATGTCAGGTGTGAACAGGACCTAAGATGTGTTAGTACTGCAGGTTTCTCACCCGACACAAACCCTGCTGTGGTTGGTGGAGAGAGGCGATAACGGCCATCATGTGAGCCGGGGGATTCGTGGCATGTCTGAAGGTCATTTTAACTGCGACCTCCAGCTTTATATCTTATTTCTTTCCCTACCGTCTGAGCACCACCCTTCTTATGTTGCACATGCAAAAGTATCCACACACAAATGACAATATCTACAGCTGAGCTTCAGCTGCCACAGCCTCCCAAGGACTGAAACAGTCGTTAGAGGAATGCCAGAAGGAGAGACTTTCCCCTCCATCTATTTCTGATCTTGACAGCACATTCTTTACGTCTCCCCTGCCATCAGTGAAAGGAGCCTCCTCTGCTGTTACCAAAATAGCCTTTTCTTTCCCTCGTTTTGACAAGTGACCAGTTTTCTTTTCAAATCTAACAAAACTGTTAAGTAGTCACCACAAAGCGGCAGCAATGGAGGATGACGACTGCATATAATCTTAGGAAAAAAGATTATACAAATTCTCTCTGCATAGCCAGATTGGGCCTGAGGCATCCTGCTGGTTTTACGCTAAAGAGAAGAATAACTACAGGAAGCAGACGTGGAATGGAGGGAGCAAAACAGAAAGAGGATGATGATGAGGATGAACAAAATAGCAAGAGATGGTGTTGCTTGGAGTGAGGGGAAGCACAGATGAGGGATACAGAGGCAGGCAGACAGAATGAGGAACCATGAAATGGGAATTGAAAAGTGTGTTTGGTGAGAGAGAGACAGAGGGAGAACTGGAGAAAAGACGGATATCTGCAGCAGCCCAGCTTTGAGGCTTTAGGAACTTAGCCCTCCTGCCCATCACAGAAGATTCCTCAAGTGCAGGCATTCACTGCCGCTGAGCCACTACTGAGAGAAAAGTGAGAAAGAAAAGCAGAGAGTGGAGAGGTGTGGTGCTCAACACTGGAAATGACACAGGGCGAGAGTTTGGATTTAGAAAAGGTGGGTGGTTGGGGACTTTGGTAAACAGTTAAAGAAAAAAACAAGTGACTTACGGAAGTAGCTGTTCTTATATGTCGCTTACATTTTAAAGAAATTGTTTTGATATTTTGGGAAATATGCTTATTGCTGAGTATTGGATACGAAGATTATGGTTTTTGTACAGATGAAATAAAAAAGATCAAATGTGTTAATTAGTGAGCTGGCAATCAGATTATATTTTGCATTTTGGTTACCTCTTTACAGACTTGCTGGCTGTAGCTTCACATTTATTCACATTATCAGTGTCTGTGTGTATTTCCCAAAAGGTCAAACTATTCCTTTACAAAAATCTATCATTATTGTCTTGTAACTGGCATATGGGATTTTCAGTCTCTGCACTAGTCCCAGTAACACTTAATCAAATGTATTATTTTAGGGTTTTTCTTGTTCTTCTAATTTCCTCTAATTTCTAATTTGTGCATCTACCACAGGAAGTGTAAACCGACCAGGGCCGGTCCCTGCCTTCCTCAGGAGCCCGCCTGTCATCCCACCCCCGCTGGACATGAAGCCCTTCCTCCAGTTCCCTCTGGAGTCGCCTCACCCGGCCAGCATCGGCCTCTTCCACAACTTCAATACGGTGAGCGCTCACAGACACGTCTGCATGACTACATGTGTTCACACACGGTGTCTGCCTCCTGTTAAGTGAAACAAAACGATAACAAATCCCAGAGTTGGTATTCAGTTGTGGCTTTGGAGCGTTGCCTCATGAACGAAGACAAGTGATAAAGTGAAAGGGATTTATGCGGCATAATCCAAAATGATTAGGTGACAGCTGTTTGCTTTTTATTCAGCACACTGAGTTTCAGCATAATTGAGAAAATGCCCAGGCGAGTGGTTTACTGCAATAAAATGAGTTACAGCTAATCAATTGTATAAGAGGCACAGGCTGTGTTCCCTATAGTCAGCATTTTCTGTGGCTCCTTCTCATTTCTAGATTGGGTTTCATGTGAAGGTCAGCGGGAGGCACATGCACCACACACACACAAACACACACACATACACACACACACACACACATTATCAGTCAGCTCATCTGCATGCGCTCAGGCAGAATGACCCTTCCGCAAGTTTATGATTCATGGAGGACATTGCGTTTGGCCACTAATGGCACAGCACCTTAATTCAAATCACTCTCTGTCTGCAAAGCAAAAATTCACGCAAGTCTACAGTGCTGCTGTCAGCTGGTGCTGGGAGCCATGTGGTCATTATTTAAAACGGGACCACTGCTCTCGGCTTCGTCTTAGGAGGCTGCAGGAACTGAAAGGACACAGAGAAGGGCAAACTGACAACAACACCTGATTACTGTGATTATTGTTTCAAGCACAGTTATAATCCTGTTAGCAGACTAACTTTTCCGTGCAGTCTGCTGCACCAGGTTCACAGGCAGTTTCCAAATCCTTAACAATATCCAGAGTACACAGCAGTTCCCATCTTCTAGCACTGAGACATAAGCTGCACAGTAATACAATGTGGAGGAAGAGGGGACTGTTTAATATATGTTTATGTTTAAACTATTAGTAATAGGCCAGTTTACATATTTCTCAGATTAATCTAAGGCAGTTTCACAAAATTTGGATGACTTACTTTAAGTTGAATATAATAGCCACCCCACACCCTTAAATAAATGCAATATAAACATTTCATAAAAGTAAAATAATTTCCAATCACCAAATTAGATGTTCTGCCTTAATTTTGCACAAGAGTATAGTTACATGTTTAAAAACACATAGCAACTTATGCTTATACATATCCGACAATGGCAAACACACATTTATTTAGCATTTTTGTTTTAAAAACTTCTGTAATTATACAATATATATTTAATTCAACAAAAAATTCTTCGTAAAATTACAAAGCAGAAAGTACATTTTCTCAAATATGCATTTTTATATTCATTCAAAGTTAGTTTTTTAGGACAATTTTACATTAGACAGTTCATTGTAGTCTGTTTTTGTAATTTTATTGATGTTTTTGGGCATTACAAAAATATGAGAAAAAAATCCTTAAAATCACAAAAAACTATTTCACTCTTTATGTTTCCTTAGTAATTATCTGCAATGCCTGTGCATAACTGTGTTAAAACAACCCCTATAAAAAAAAAAGCTATTTCATAATGTAACCATTAAAAAAATGCTGCTTCCTAAGGTGGCGCAGTTGGTAGCACTGTTGCCTCGTAGCAAGAAGGTCGCCGGTTCGTGGGGGCACCGGAATCTTTCTGCGTGGAGCTTGCATGTACTCCATGCAACATGGGTTCTCTCCGGGTTCTCCGGCTTCCTCCCACACAGTCCAAAAACATGTTGAGGTTAATTGGTGATTCTAAATTGTCCGTAGGTGTGAATGTGAGTGTGCTTGGTTGTCTGTCTCTAAGTGTAGCCCTGTGATAGACTGGTGACCTGTCCAGGGTGTCCCCTGCCTTCACCCTGAGTCGCCTGGGATAGACTCCAGCCCCCCACGACCCTAGTGAGGATTAAGCAGTATATAGATAATGGATGGATGGATGCTTCCTAATGTTAAAATATTAATTTATGTAGAATAAATAAAAAATGTGTTGTACATAAATAGTCATGCGCTAAACACCTCTATAGAACAAATAAATGTAGATGTCTGTTAGTTAAATCTAATTCCAAGGTCTTTCTTGTAAAACAGGCAAGGCAGAGAGTGATCCTCTGGCACGCTGTAGATTTGTAAAACTCCAGAGGAGGAAAGACAATTTTTTACGCAAAGACTGAAGGTTAGTGTAGATATTATTGGAGGGGAAAATCACCTTAAAGTTAGAATTGTTACGACACCAATCCCATTTCTTTTGTACAACTCATGACAGTAATTGCCAGGTAATCTATTTGTGTTTGGTAAATGACTCTTTCATATCAGCATCCGTCTTTCAAATTGAGTACAGATGCACAACAGGAACCACAGGAAACAAGGCAGTGCCCAGTTCTGTATGTACTGCACACAATGCAGAAAACAACACTTGTTGAGGAGTGCCATATTTTGTCTCATGTCATGATTCAGTCTGACATCATGTTCTTATTAACTGTTTATATCACACATGTGACTGATGTATTTGCACTAAAGCTAAACCTGTGCTACCTGTTGTTGGGAGCAGTTGTACTGTTTGTCATGTTTGTTGAAGCAATATACTTATTTAAGAGTTGATATCTCTCAAAGCTGATCAGTATTGCTGCATTGATCGTTTTGCCTCATCAGTCAGAAAAACTGATGAACTTGAATCAAAAACTTTAGAAATGTGTCAGTCAGAAGTCAGTCATGTAGCCAACTATGTTTTTCAGTCTACTGTATTAAAATAGTGTAACACCAAGAATGCTCAAACAGAAACTCAGCAACCAAATGGTTATCTTTTCGGACTTTTCTGACTGTCTGACTTTTCTGGAAAGAAAAAAAAAAAAATCTAATTTCTACTATTTTGGTTTAAAGGGGGTTAAATTTAGTCAGTTGTTCACAAAATGCTTTTGAATTATTCACCTACTGCAAATTCTCCACCACTGAGTTAATCTGCATTGGCTTTAAAGAACAGTGATCAGATAGTGTGACCAGCATACAGACATTCCTTTGACCAGTGGCTATAAAAGTCCACCTTAAAATGCAGCTTTATTTAAATGACATGATGTCACAGACGATAAGAAAAAGATGAGAACGGGCTGTTGGCATGTTGAATGTTGGCATATCAGCTAGTGCTGTACCCGAATACTTCAATGTCCAAACCCATTTGTCACCTCAGAAATCATTTCAGACAGGCAATTTGCCACATGACCGCAGACCAAGTGTCACCACCTGAGCCCAGGATCATTACATCTGTCTCGCCCATTTGCAAAATCGTTTGTAATCAGCGACAGAGACTGCTGATGAAGTTGTTGGTCTGCACAACCAGATAATATCTATGGAAACTATGAGGGAAGCTGGTTTGCAATGTCGTTGCCCTCAGCAATGCCTTGATCTGGTGGCAGAAAGGTGACGAAACAGCTTCAGTGGGCAAGCACTGTGGCAATATGGAGGATAGCCCTTTTCACTGATGATTCTTGTTTTTTAGCAGTACAAGGAAACGCTATGTAGATGGAGAGTGACCTGTAGAAGTGGAAGAGCGAATATCGAGAGCCATGGAAACATCAAGTAATGGCAACGAGTGAATTTGTCGCCATCACTTGATGTTTTGACGAGAAAACGCAGATCTTTGTATCATCAGAAATTGCGCTGTTCTTCCACTGTAGCAGCTGACAACGTTTCAGTCCTATGATGGCCTGCAGACTCTCCAGACATGTTACCAATCTAACATATGCAGGACATTCTGAATAGACGTTTCCACCCAACTTCTCCAAGCCCTTCAGAAAGAGTGGGACAATATTCCACAAGCAGCACTGACAACCTCATTAACTCTATGCCTCACAAATTTGTGACTCATTACTGACTTGTGATTTCTGATCTATGACTCGACTCTCCAGCTGCTCATTATAATTTCCAAGATAGTGGGTGTTTTCATGATGTCCTTTCTGTTGTAGAATTGTGTTGGAACAACAAATATTTACTGGCCTATGTTTGAAAGAATGGATGGAATTTAATCAAATATTACATGTTGCATTTATATTTTTGCCAGTACAGTTTTGTAGTTTTGATAGATATGTTGTTTAAAGTGTTTTTGCTGCACCTATTAGTTGATAAATGTATAATTTCGTACAGAGCTTTAATAAAACACATCGCCACCTGCGAGCACAGCTGTCACCAAATCATCCTGGACTGAAATCTTACGGATTTTCAAAAACAAAAATAAAAAAAAGCAGGAATATGAGGCCCTACAGTGTATTAGAAACAGAGCGTCTACCATAAGGCTAGATATGTTGACATGAGGCACATGTATAGCATGGCACAGTTTAAATTACTCGTGCAACAAAAGCTCCACTGTTTGAGGTAGGAGGGAATGAAAGTGGAGACAGAAAATGGACTAATAGGTTAATGAGGTCATAACAGTAGGGACAGATGCACAGAAAGACATCCTGATGAGAACAGGTGGTCAAAGAAAAGGCAGCAGTACTGAGAGACTAGAGAGACCAGTGAAAGACAGACAGGACAGTGAGATGGGGGGTCTTGTTTTTTCCTGCTTTGCTGCCACACAAACTCACATGCACTACAAGACACTAACCTCTTGGATGTGTACCCACATGCAGAACACACAGGCAGTCACCCACACACGGCGTTGGCACGGAAACAAATGTGCAGATGTAAACAAATCTGGAGATGTTAGAGGTCTCCACATGAAAAACACAGTGCAAGGTGAATTAAAGAAGCAAGTTAGAGACCGAAGCAAAGAAAAGAAAAGAAAAAAAAAATGAGGCTAAAGTCTATAAATATTTCGAACAATGGATTCACACAGAGTTTAAGTTTTCAGACCAATTATATCATTTCCCCTGGTGCCTGGAGCTTCACAGTGTAAACAGTCTCTCATTTGGCAACGCACATTCAGTCTGAGCGGGAGATGAGAGGCTGAGTAAAACCGCAGTGTACTTTTGGCTGCTTAATGAGGGCAACACCCAGCGCTGAGGTTTTTGAACCCTACCAATGGGTCAGAGAGCTCACACGAGTCCAATGGAGTCAAATGAAAATGAGGTAGTAAACATTACATAAGAGAATGACATGGCATATATTTGCTTGATCTGGAAATGACGAGATATTAAAGATCAATGTCTGCGGCTTTGATATTTTATGTTTTGTTTTCCCGCTTTCTGTCTTTCATCCTTTTGCTTTTTAGTGCGTTCTCTGTAATGATTATTTAAAATCATTTAATTCCTACCAAAATCACAAGACTGACACTTATCCGAAATACATCTTGATGTCTTATCACAGTACTGCACACAGAAATTATTGTTTTGTGTAAAAAGGTGGTATGATGATGAGAAAAAAGGAGGTTCAGCTGCGCACAACAACACAGAAATTCTTGGAGATAGGGAGTCTGTAATTAGGCCCCTCTATCCCTAGCATGAATTAAAGCGTTTGAACAGCACCCAAGAACTCCGGCACAGCTGCTGCTGAGAAAACACACACCTTCCTGTCCACATCATTCACCGCTCCCTCTTCAATTCGCTCTTCTCCACTCTTTTTTTTTTTTATCTTCCAGCTTTCTCCCCCCTTCAGCGGCTCCCCCTCTGTCATTCACCTGCACTTTTTCTTCAACACCTTTCTCTTTCATCCACGTTCAATCGGTGGTGCCTCTCAGTGCACTGCAGTTAGGAGGAACATTGCCCTGTGAATTTCTCCTGTGATGCTGAATCTTTGATGTGACCTCTGGTTGTCTCTCCTCAGATGGACCCTGTCCAGAAGGCAGTGATGACGCACACCTTCGGGCCACCTATGGTGAAGACAAAGCGGCCAATCATCTCCTGCAACGTCTGTCAAATACGTTTCAACTCAGAGGTATGAGATCTGAAGTAGCTGAAATTAATGGTTTGCTTTTATAGCCATATCCCACCAACTGGCTGCTTGCTAAACCCACAACACAAACAGCTGTAGAGAGAGTGATAGTCAACATTTGAAGAGAGTACAAACATTAGTATGTAGTGCTTACTAGTTTGCTACCTGCAGTATCTTTCAATTACTGCAGAAGTTTGAATTATGGTTCGCCTTCAACTTGCAATTAACATAGGTCGGACAGGATGATATGTGTACTTCAGCTGCTAGGCAAGACTTTGTGATCCAACAGTAAGCTTTTATTTCACAGTTTTATAGGTGCATTTAGAATTATCAATCCATCCATCCATTATCTATACACTGCTTAATCCTCACTGGGGTCACAGGGGGGCTGGAGTCTATCCCAGCTGACTCAGGGTGAAGGCAGGGGACACCCTGGACAGGTCGCCAGTCTATCACAGGGCTACACTTAGAGACAAACAACCGAGCACACTCACATTCACACGTACGGACAATTTAGGATCACCAATTAACCTCAACATGTTTCTGGACCTTGTGGGAGGAAGCCGGAGAACCCGGAGAGAACCCACGCTGCATGGAGTACATGCAAACTCCACGCAGAAAGATTCCGGTGCCCCCACCGGGACGCGAACCGGCGACCTTCTTGCTACGAGGCAACAGTGCTACCAACTGTTTCACCATGCAGCCCACATTTAGAAGCCTGGTCTCAGTCCTAATTTGTTACAAACTGCCATTTTTCAGTGTGCAGTATAGTTTACCAGATCTATAAATTCCCTGAATTTCAGAAATAAATGCCATAATACCACTGTCTAAATTCTTCCACTGGTGTTGTTCCTTTTATAGGCAGCCATGTTTGCCCTCTATTAGCCCCGCATAACCAGAACATTCTCCTGCACTCACACAGTGGCTACATCTCATCATTATTCTGCTATAGGGAGGAAAAACTCTGGCATGTTTGTATTTCTTTAAACCAATGACAGTCGTCCTGGGCACTGCTATGCCCAGGATGTAGCAATGGTGCCCCCTAAAAATGCTGTTTTGGAGGAACATTTACAAGCAGGGAGGCAAACACTGTGATTAAAATGGCAAATTCACCACATGATGATACAAGTCCTCGGCACAACTTAAATTTAGTTAGCTAGCCTAGAGGTTGTTGTTATTTCCTGTAGCAAAGGGACTTTTGACAACATTAACATGTAGATAGGGGAATGGGAGGAGAAACCTGTGTAAAATTCACAGCCAATGGCAGGCTTATACCCACATCTGCATCTGGTAGGTCAGACTAGACGTGACATGTTCCTAATATTGTGGAAAAGCATGTTTTAACCCAAGTCATGATCTTTTCCTAATCTTGACCAAGTTGTTTTGGTGCTCACACTTCAAACTGTAAGTAAAAATTAAACTGGAGTCACAAAATAAAGCAAAACTAAATGAATAAATAATGATGCAACCCTGGAAACAAACCTCAGTCTCCTGTGTGAAAGACCTGTAACCCATACTTCCCCTGCCCCCCCAACCTCCTTATGGCACTTTCAAAAACTAGATAAGCTCTTATCCATCTATTGCCATTGAATATTGGTTTTGGTGGCATTGATGCCACCTTGTACTCAGACACTAGCAGCTTTGACAAAATGGCCATTGATGCCAGGAGAATAAGAACAGGGTTGAGCCACTAGGTTTGTTTCCCACCTACAAAGCCAGGGCTGTGTACGAGCACTGGATATGTTTTTCTACACAAATACAGAACAGACAGCTAACATGCTATGAGGAGACATGCAATATATTTGACAAAAAGTGTGTTAGATTAGAATCTCTGACTTTACTTAGAAGTTTCTCTGCAAGAAGCTAAAGTTTGAAAGGTGCAGCGGCCACCACGGGGAGCAGGAGTTTACCGAATGTCCAGTTGGTTGAGGAAATTCATGTAACCTAAGAACATCCTACTGGTATTTCATAGATGCCCAGGGCACTGCACCTGCACGCTGCACACATTAAATCATGACCTGCAAAGTTAGTAGTTTGGACCCAAAGTAGGTTGGTGATTGATTGCACAGCTGGAACTGGCGAAAACTTGGTTCACAGTTTCCCTGCTCCAATTTTATCTTGTCTGGACTGAAGAGTGCGGGGGAGACAGAGAAATCCCTGTTCGCTTAATTTACTCCGTGACTGTCTGATAGGATTTTTTTATGTACTGCTACACTCCAGTGTCAAAGTTTTGAGGGTAAATTTTGTCACAAAACTTTGCATCATGACAAAAGATAAAGAAAGACAACAAACAAACTTCAGGAAATTTGCAAAACCTTTCTGTTTGTGTGCAGATATTTTGTTGGATTGAAATGTGCATCAGGCTTAGAAAACATGTAAAGAGTTTATTTGCAAAAACAGACAACTCCATCTTCACAAACCTTCAGAAAACCCACTTTTCCATCCTCTACCTGAGACAATATCAATCAAACTTAAGTTATCTCTATTTTTGTCATGTCATTTCTACTGAGTCAAATCCACTCAACTTCAGTTTGATTGATTTTATCTCAAGCAAAAAATCTGAAAAAACTGAGTTATCTGTTTTTGCAAATGAACTCTTCATGTCCTCATAGGAGGCTTGTGAGGACACTAAGACTGGTTCTCAAGTCCACTCAAGATGAGGTTTTAATGGACGGTTGTAAGACGTGTGAGGGTTGGTGTGAAACAGGAGGATGAACCGCAGCTCGTCCTCAAAGCTATCTTCATGCTGAGGAAGCGCATTTTCTGCATTTCGCTCTTGACAGGCAGCGGGATGCCAACATAAGGCAGATGGACTGAAATAAAAGGGGGCCAGAAGTGATGAAACTTTAGAGGAATGATATGAGTGTCTCCATTAAAGAGGCAGAAGTGTTAACGGAAGTAGAAAAGCAAATAACTCGTAATGTGGGCATCCAAAACGCAGCTACCGGATGACATGATTGACGTTTTATGTGCCAAGTCCAGGGCCTTTTACAGTGTGTTTGCGTTTCTAAGTACATGTGTGCAGTGGATATATTTTAACGGCCAAGACTGCTTTTCCTTCCTAGACGGCACATTTCTTGCCACAACATTTCTCATCAAGTTGCATCTATGCATTTATCGGCAGAAATATACGGCTGATATCTCAGATCATCCCAGAAAATAAAACAGCTCAGGCTAATTTCTACGGTCAAGTCTCGAGCTGAAGATGTCGTGCAGCCGAACACTGAGGTTGAATCAATGTAATCAATATCGAAAAGGCCTCTATGGATGGAAAAATCCTGGTGTTTATGACCTGACACTGTAATCTCTAACTCAAACATGAGCAGAAATCAAACAAAAGTCCGATATACAAGCTTGGCTAAAAATATGATTGCATTCCGGTGATGAAGTGCTAAACACTTGCACTCTAAATGCAGCGGTGTGTAAAGGACACAGGCAGGGAGGGAGTCATCTGAAACTTGTGTAACACTGCCCTGTTCTCTCTGCGAGGGGCCGCTTAATTATATCTTCCCTGCTCAGACCTGCATGTTCTCACATGGTCTACATGAGCATGGGTACATGATTGAGAAGTGCTTTTATTTACTTCAGCATGTTCATATTTACATACTAAACGCCTGGGAGTTCACTGAATCTGCATGTATGAAAACGCTTGGCGTCTCATGTCGCTCCTGCGTAATGCAGCAAGAAGCCAAATACTGAGCCACCTGTTTGTCCAGCCTGCTGTTTTACTTGTGAGCCGCGGCGTGCATCTGCTCTGCTGCAGCTCTACAGCACTTTCCACCGTAACCCGAGAGACTGGGAGCTTAAAGCACGGTGGACATTCTTTAATAATGAAGGAATACTCTGCTTACAGTACAGTGCTTGACTTACTCATGCTGTCTGGGCTGTGCTGCAGTTCAAAGGCAGGCAAACACTCATTATTTTACATCAAGTCCTCTTTAGGTCATAAGACATTAAAGCATATTAATAAAACCAACATTTTTCTTTCGTGTCTATCTCTGAGGGAGGCTGGCTTTTAATGGAAACTGTCGAATACAAAGTGAAAGAGGCAGACGTTGGTTGATAGTGGTCATTGAGGAGCAGGTGCTTTTCACTGCTACTACACCCGTAGCCCCACATGTTGTAATTATAACACCGCAATTCATTTCAGGCCACAGAGGACAGATTAGCCTGCCAGTGTTCGGCTCAGCTCTGCTGCAAGGTTGACGTCACACCATGCTGCATTAGCCACCGTCACCACTGCTGTACCATAGTGGACACCTCTCTCTCTCTCTCTCTCTCTCTCTCTGTCTCTCTCTGTCTCTCTCTACCCTCTCTTTCCTTTCCCTCTCTCTTCTTGTTTTCCTTGGGCACATACAAAACTGTTACTATCTCCTGTCTGTTTGGCAACTTTTCATTTTCCTTGTCAGTTTTCACGCTCTCCCTCCATGGGGTTACACCGTATACCATCTCCCTCTCTCCACCCTCTCAAGCCTTTTTCCACCCCCTCTTCCTGTCGCCGCTGTCTGTCCTCCGTACAGTAGATTTGGCTGCTAGACCGGCTCTATCTGCTTTCTGTGCCTTTGTCGCTTTATAGATAAAACATCAAAGCACATCCTGCTTAGAGAGAAAAGGGATTTTAGAGACATTCACTTGCTCTCATTTTCTCCTTGAATCCCATTTCTGCTTCTTCATTCATCTAAATCCTCCTTTCCATAGGCGCTTTCGCAGCTTCTCTCAGTTCACTTTATCTTCTGTGCCGAACATAATTTATATTTTATCTTGGTTTATTTTATATTTACCTTTCCTCTTAGCTGCAATGATCAGATGACCTTAATCAATTTTGACCCCATTGTCTCTGCTGCATCCCACCCCCACCTCTGAACCTGCCATCTATCTTTATGCTTGAATTGATGCCGGACCTTCATTGATTTCTTAAGACCAGACATTGAAGGTCATTATGATGGTGAAAGTGTCAAAGCTCAAGCAGAAACAAAGCAACCAAAAGGGAGAGGCAAATAAGAAGAACAGCAGAACGGAATCTGGATTGCAACGAGAAGACTGACCGTTGGGTATTTCTTCCTTTTGAGGTCGCTGCTGTCATATGTTTGTCGACTTGTAGGCCTTCATCTCCTTGTCTAATTGTAGGGCTTTGGGGAGCAACAGCCAAAGGAGTAGAGTTACACAGGCAGAGCTATATCTGCCTTTCTGTCATCACCAATCAGGATGAGGGCTATATGGGTGACTATCATCGGCAGTTAATACCACGGCTTACAGAGGCATCCTCGACACGTCCCAGTCGCCCCTTTTCCTCAGAGCCCTCAACATGTACCTGCTTTATGTGGGTCCCTCTGGCTTGTTATTTACATAATGAAGCATATCTAATTCCAGAAGGTGTTTGTTTGTGCGTACACATGCACATAGAGTCACATACACAGTCTTGTATTACTGTATTAATCAGGAGCTTACAGGAACTATATTTATGCCCTAACACCTCACTCTTTCCTTTGATTTCATTTGATGGTGCACATGTACATGATATCTGGACTTGGAGGGTAACACTGATTTCCCAGCCCAGTATCTCAAGGAAGTATTTTCATATTGGACAGTTCTGCAGTTCATGATTTACGTCCAGTGCCAATGTTAAATACCAGTGCAGTGAGCCTTTTGTGTGGCAAGGCAGAAAGTAAGGGTGTGGAGTTTGAGTTGGTTTATGGTGCGTGACAGATTTTGATGCAAGACAGAGTTGGCACCAAACACACACCTTTTTAATTGCAACCACCATTTTTCCAAAACCTAAACCCTGTGATTTAGTTGCCTAAACCTGATCATATCCAAACCATAGCAGATCTCTGTGCCTAACTATAAGCATATTGTCATTTGCAGCTAAAAAAAAAAGAAAGAAAAAAAAAATCAAAGAAAATGTTGTCTATTTTTGTGGATGCATTTTTAATGAATAGATGCCTTCAGTGCTCAGCTCATAAACATTGTGTTTTCTGTGACTGCTTTACAATGAAAGCCATAATGTATCTTGCCAGTTGAATGCATTTAATTTGAAGCAGCAGCAGTAAAAAAAAAAAAAAAAAAAGTTCTGTTTGTAAGAAGAACCATAATGCAGCCTTGATATGTCTGCAGGAGAGTGAACCGTGAACAGTGAGGCTGTTATGATTATGATATTAAAAACAAGACTTTTAGATTAAATCCATGTATTGTTTTTGGGAATCCCTTTTCTATACAAATAGCCCATTCACCCAGCTTGGAAGTTTTCCAATTTTATTGTTTTTTAACATTAAATCATAGTCAATTCAAAGTAAAATGAATAATTGCAAATATATCCCCCACCCACCACCCCTCCTCCCTTCCTATGAGTATTTACTAGATGTACTGTTGGCCAAAATATAAATCATATTTGAGCTTGTGTGGATGGACCTCAGTCAGCCGTGCACATCTGCCACACACTGGAGTTTTACCACTGCTGACAAACATTCCCACATCATGATGCTGCCACCACCATGCTTCCCAGTGAGAATGGCTGGTCTGTGACGATGTGCAGTGTTCAGTGTCTGTCAAACATAGCGTCTAGTCTGATGGTGAAAAAGCTACATTTTGGTCTAATCAAACCAAAGAACAGTTGTTGTATGACATTTCAACTGTGGAAGCTTGTAACGCCTTCAGAGGAGTCATAGTTGTCTTGGCGACCTCCCTCACTAGTCTCTTTCTTGCACATTCACTCAGTTTTTGAAGTTTGCCTCTTTAGGCAGATTTATGCATGTGCAGTATTCCTTCCATCTATTAGATTAGATTAGATTAGATTAGATTAGATTAGATTAGATTAGATTAGATTAGATTAGATTAGATAGAACTTCATTGAATGATGGATTTAACTGTATTTGATCATTTTCTTGTGCCTATGCCCCTACTTTTGCTTAGCAATAACCTTTACACTGAATTGTTTGGAGTGTTCTTCTGTCTTTGTGATGTAGTTAGAGTCAAAAGCACTGATTCACCCATGACTGGACCTTCCAGATACAGATGTCTTTATAATGCCATCATGAGAGAAACATTCACATTTTACATTTTTAATGAACTGACATTACTTTGCAGAAATCTTCTTATGCTTTGACATAAAAGAGCATTTTATTTAAAATTCTTATCAAAAGCAAAATCACATTGACAATGATTTAATGTAGAAGAGCAAATAAAGAGGGAAACTTCCAAGACGTGGTTAAAAATTTTTATAGGCACTGTAGGGGATGTGAGCCCCTGACACTGACAATGATGTAACTGCAGAGTATAAATCCACCATAAACCAAAATAATTTTTATTTATTTATTTATTTATTTAAAGGGTTACTCTAACTTGTCTCCTTTTACCTCAGCTGTATCTTTGCTCAGCTAAAATCTAAACTCCACACCCCAGTAGTAAGGACTGATTTAACTGTCCACAACTCGTAATATTTCCAATTTACTGCATTTTGAACTGATCCTCTTAAGTGCACACTCATGGACACCAAGTTTTCTCTCGGTAGCTGACTGTCAACTGTCCCTGGTCGCTCACAGCCCTCCAGTCCATTTTAGATAATCCCACCACTCAATAATCATCATCAGCTCAGCAGGCCAGTTCAGTGATTACACCAGTGGTGAAAGAAGACAAGAATATTCTGGAGGCTAATCTTCCCTGACAGCCTCATCAGCACATCATAGCTGCAAACCATCAACTCAGCAGCCCTTCACTGTAATGCACCAAAAACGCAGGGTGCCAGCATATATTTGAAATTTTGTGAGTAGTTATTATTTTCATCCATTGTTCAGTTTAACACTTAATAATGCAAGGATGAATATCTTGGTAACAAACACTCAGTTTTTTGATACAGTGTCACAGTAAAGTTGACCATTTAGCCCTTTTAGTCATTTGTGTAAAATTTTGTCATAATTAGTGCATGAATTCTTGAATTATGGGCCAAAATGTGTTTTGTGAGGTCACAGTGACCTTGTACGGTCAACTCGAAAACATAATGCCTCTGGCTGTCGCTGGTGCAGAAGCATAGAAATGCAATCGATGCAATGTCTAAAGAACATTTAGCCGTAGCTAATTTGCAGACCTTGCTCACGGTCACTGCTACAGTTTTAAACATCCACACCTGGAAGCTGCATCACCAACCGCAGTCTTTAGCTGATGGTCACATATAGTAAAACTGGACATTTTAGGTGCTGTATTTGCCACAAATGTCTCATTAGTTGTTGTTGTAGGAAACAAAAGCATCGTTCTTTCACTCTTCAGTCTCTCGTTTTCATTCACTGATCTTCTGAGTTTCAATCATGTTTTCCACATCTCATGATCTCATCACTACTCTTAACAGCAAAGAAAAGTTGAACCATGTGCAGATGGAAGATTTAGGTTGGAGTTAAGAAAATCATCAACTGGACTCAAAATGCACATGTCTTGTGTTTAAAACTTTGGAAACAGAAATATTAGAAGAAGGTGTTCAGTATAAGCTTTTTCTTTGAATTTGCCTGATAATAAACAACTGATAAGCCCATCTTTAGCCACATATTTTAAATGCTTTGGATTATACATGTAATTATAAGGAAAAACAGCAATATACAGCTGACTGACAATGAGAAGACACGTGTCTAATCCTAGCAGGAGCATTAGATGGTCTATTGGAATCTGGGTGTTGACACAAAAAAAAGATAAGCCAACCATCATGGTGAACAAACTAAAATGTTCTCTTAAAAATGGTAATAAGAATCAAATCCTGTATTTCAACTAAACTTTGGATATGTCTTTTGCCAGAGCCAAGCAGAGGCCCACTATAAGGGGAACCGCCACGCTCGCAGGGTGAAGGGGATCGAGACATCCAAGACACCTCGTCTGCAAGATGGTGACAAGCAGAACCCTCCCCCTCCTGCTTCGCCCTCCCCACCCGGCCCTTTGCCATCCAGTCCTGAGCCTGATCCTAATCATAATAAGCAGGGTTAGTATCACCAGTAAAATATGATGTTACATACATGCACAGGAGTCTGTCACAAACTGGCACACAACACAACTGCAGTGTGAAATGATATGACGTTACCAGAGAGGTGTATTGAATCTACAAACCTGCAAATCTTAAATATGGAAAATAATTTAGTATTCATTTGGAAAAACCTTCTTCAGTGTGTAGCTATGCAGATTTAAAGATTCAGGAATTCATCACACAGTTAAATTTAGATGACAGAAAACAAAAAGTCCCATCAAGCTAACATGGCATGTCACACTGTGCTGGTCAGAGCTGCTGGCAGGTCCAGATGGACCCACACAGCAGCCGTCAGGGAAACAGAGGTTCAAGCACAGCACTGCTGCTGGAAGGGTCACATTATAATTTTCACTCTTTCATCAGGGGTTGGAGGGTTAATTGCATGATTGACGGTTGGTTTCCAACAAATGATTTACTGATGAGAAAACTTTGTGCTGTTTACAGACGACACTCAATCCTGTCCCAACTCTAAAGAGCCACCTTTGACCCCCAGCCGCCTCCCAACACCCACACTGAGCTCCGCAGACACCGAGTGCGCCCTCCTGCCTTCTGTCAGCACGCCTTTGCCGTCCTCTCCCTCCCCCTCTGCAGCCCTCAGTACCCCCCCTGCTGACCCAGCAGCGGCTGGTCTCCCTGACACCCCGTCCCCAGCACCCAGCCTGTCTTCAGGAGAGTCAGAGGAGGAGAAAGCCAAGAAGCTTCTCTACTGCTCCCTGTGCAAAGTTGCTGTTAATTCCCTTTCTCAACTGGAGGCACATAACAAAGGTTAGTCCAACACAGCTTCATCGTGCACAATCTCAAGAGAAATACGCATCTACAAATTATGCAGTACGAGCATTCAGTAGTTCACTTCAGAAACACTGAGGCCTCTTCAGAAGGGGTTCTTCACTTGCTCTGCATTTTTCAGTTTGTAAAACTAAAGCAGGTGCATTGCTGCCACTTAGTGGTGTGAATGAAATGTTAAAAACATGATTTTACTGGATCTAAATGGGTGGTGATAAAAACCTCATCACCTAGATTACATATCGTCTCACAGAATCAGCGCAATTATAGGAAAAAGCTTCCATGTCAACCTAATAGGTTTTATAACAACTGGAGCTGCAGAGTTTGTTCTTTGCACTGTTAAACATGCGCAAGTTGAGAAAACCATCTCATCACAAGGTCCATTTAACAGCCGTTCTGGAGATTTCAATCATGTCACAAGATTCTCAGTAGGTAGCAGATGTTCACATTTTCATTTTTTAATACTTTAAGGACTTTAAAAGCTGAGGTTAATGGTTCAAGAATAGCAAGAACAGACAAAGAAAATCTTGCTAGAAACATTTAGCACATGCACTACAATGCAACATGGCCTCATATGGAACTGTAGCTAATGCCTTTCTTTTTGTTCTGCCCAGGTACCAAACATAAAACTATCCTGGAGGCTCGAAGTGGACTGGGACCCATTAAAGCGTATCCACGCTTGGGTCCTAAACCCAGCCCTGAGCAGGGAGGGGAGCTGTCCTCTGACCCCAACACTCAGGAACGTACCTTCCACTGTGAGATCTGCAACGTCAGAGTCAACTCTGAGCTGCAGCTGAAACAAGTGAGAAACCCACATATAAAGACCCAGAGTGAATTATTTTACATGCAATATCAATATTCAATATCTGGCTTCTCTCACATTTTCTCTTCCAGCATATATCCAGCCGGAGGCATCGGGATGGAGTTGCAGGGAAACCTAATCCTCTTCTCAGTCGGCACAAGAAGCGCACAGACTTTATGGTATAGATTCAGTTAGTCTTTCTCACTGTCATTTCAAATCGCTAAAGTTGTTTTATGGTTACTTATGATCTTCCCTGACTTTCTTAAAGGAACTTCCAAAAACTCTGGGGGCCGGACTTTTACCAAATCCCCTCGCTGTTGCTGCAGCGATGGCAGCGGCGGCATCCTCAAATCAGCTGGCACTGCGTCCTCCAGGCCCGGCTTCCCACCCTCACCCCCATCACCACCTCCTACAGGGAACACATCTCAGCCTGCTGAGGCCGGCCCCGGGCCCCATCCGCACCACACACGGGCCAATCCTCTTCACTCCTTACTAATGGTGAAAGAAAGAGAACGAATCAGGAAGAAGCACACTGTGAATTGGAGGCCGGAGACTTTGTGCCATCAAGAGCCAAATCGGCTGGTGTGGCTCCAGCTGGTGTTTCATTATATTTAAAAAAAACAGTGAATATAAACACGACTCTTCATGGTGCATTGTGTAGAGATGTTTGTTTCCATCCTCTCCAGTTTCCCTTCATCACTCTCGTCACTATCTGCCAACGATCACACCGATTCTGCAGATACTCTGAAGAGGAACTTATACAGTTTCCATCGAGCACGGACTTCTTTGAGCATCCACCAATCTTCAACTGACTAAATATCTTCATCTATTATGTGATCCATAGCCTCAGACTCAAAACCCTACCTCTCTTATGTTTTTAATGCTCATCTCTGCAAAGACTCATCACGTATCCAAAGCATTAATGTTATCAAACATGCCCACTGGGGTTAGACATAGTAGCTGCCTCTGAAGTTAGTTGGCATCATACCGTAGCTGTCACCCTATAGAGGACTGTACCACTGTAAAGTTCTGCTTTTGTGGCCTATGAAGAGAAAAAGGTACCCACAATTCCCACACTATTTCTGCAGTATCTGGCAAACTTTCTTTGCAAGCTATGTCTGCATTTTCACAGCTACCCTATGTGATCTATCTTTACCTCTGCAGGGTGCAAACAGGAAGTCAAAGAGGAACAACAAGTGGGTACCAATTACGCAACGTCTTAAAAATGAAGTCATGCGCACATTAATTACATTTGTGGTTTGACAAATGTGGAGTTGTTATGAGGACGTAATTGGCTACTGGTGCACTATGCAGCTTTTAGAGTTTTTTGTCATGGTGTGTGTTAAATGCAGTAAGGCGGGAGAAAATAATAAGCAGATAACAAGAAGAAAACCCCATGCGACATTAGTTCCTCTCTGTAAGATATGATGCCACCAGTCAGACTGTTTCTCCAATCATCTCTAAATGACCACTGAGAGCAAGCGTGTGGATAAAAGTCTCACAAAGCACACAAGTAAAAGTCTGTGGTGAGAAACCTACATGTCCTAAATACATTTAAAAGGTGATTATTACTTTTTTTTTTTTTCTTATCTGCACCACAATACGCAAAACAGAAAGGTTTTAGTGTCTTAATGGAATAACTTCAACACTGTGAGCACAGCAAGACAGTTGACTTATGAGTCTAGAAGCAGGTAATTGCAATACATGCACATAAGGAAGACCACATCTCATCACAATCAGAAGGAAACTGGAAACAGTGGGATGAAAGACACCAGCATTGTGCTATTAAAGGAAGAGAAAAGGACCACATACACAGATTAGTAGTTGTATGCAAAAACAATAAGAAAAAAAACCACAATTTTTGATAGTATTGTAGGACTGTGTTGGGATAAAAATGTTTAGTTTGTCTGCTCTGCCATGTGTACTCCAACCCTACATCACCCGCAGTGAAAACGGTCACAATGGCTAGTGAAACATTTAGGGGGAAGCTTTAGGAAATGGAAACTGTAGCAATACTTTAAGCACTCCTACTAACTTTTCTTGTTAACTGCAATAAAAAGAAAATGTCTACAAATGTATTAAATGTTATTTAGGAGAAGTGTATTGAAACGTTGCTGTAAATGTAGATTATTAAAAAATGATTCACGTTGGGGCTTCCTAATTGTTAAATTTAAATAAAATTATATATAAAAAATCATTAAACTGAATTTATGGTTGTAAGCAATGGTGATTGGTGATTTTCTTTCCAAATATAATCATATATGACAACAGTAACTCATAAATTCAATAGTTCAGTACTGCAATAATGGGAGTGAGTCATTTTCAATTTCGACATACACTGTAAACCGGGATAAGTTGATTGTACTTAAATCATTTGCGTCAAGTGATTGTCTCAAATAGTTTAAGTTACTGACAGCAGGGAAACTTAATTTGTTCAAGTACAGTCAACTTAAATGTAGAACAGTCAGAACTTAATATTATAAGTCAAATACACTTAAAAATCTTAGTTTTAATAAAATTATAAATATACAATAAAAAGATACTTGGGATAAGAAAATTTCAGTTAAGTTCATCTTTTGTCAATGACCACACAATGCAGTACATTTTACTCATTTTATTGAAACACAGGTAAGCACATAGGTAAAGCCGAACAAGAGGCACATTGCTTGAGGTAGGTTGGTGAGTGCGTCCATTACAGGGCTGCCCTCTGGATGATCCCCACTCTTGACGGGTTTAGTTGTGGTGATGCTGGGCTTGCAGCGCTGTTGTCCTCATGGCAGAAAATTCCCACTGGAATGTCCACAGAGTCTGCCTCATTAAGATTCGAGAAACAAGACAAAACGAGGATATTTAGGTTAACGGCAATTTTTCTGTGTAGCATTCACATGCTACAAAAATATCAGCAGTTTCTGATTAGTACTTGAATGAAGAAAACAACTTACCTGGTTCAGACAGAAAATGATATCTGCTTTACTGCAGACAAACGTCCTTTGAAAGGGTCCAAACTTGCAAAAACTGAAAAATGCAAGCAGAAAAGGTATTGTCCAAGGAGCATGCAAAGTCCACAGGCCTCCTCTGTGTTCTACAACAGTCAAGCCCAGACTAGTCCTGAGTTGTGAGTCAATCAGGGCCAACAGGGCAGCAACTGTGGCCTGGTTTAAGTTTTTTTTTTAAACTTTTAAGTTTAAAAACTTATAAAAGTGAGTACACCAAATGACTGCCTCAAACACTCTCCATATACTCATACTGTTTCAGTAATGCAACAAAACTAAACTGTTGAGTAGAAAGAACTTTCAGGTTAACAGTTTACACTGTAAAACATCATAAAGGAATTCAGTAAAATCAAATTACCTTTTCTAGTTTACTTATAATAAGAATCAAATCTTATTATAAAGTAAATTTTATAGATAAGTTTTGCTAATTTCAAGTCAACTCAACTAAAATTGTCTCATTATAATTTTAAGACCATTTTGAAACCTAAAAACACAAGTTCTTGTAACTTGAGTTGAATGACTAAACAGCTGAGAGATCACTCAACTCATTAAATTTATAATAAACAGAACTTGCATGAAAGCAGATTTCCCAAGATTCACTGTTACAAAGTTTAAACTTCCCAGAGACTCTTGATGTTTTTTAGTTTGAAAAAACAGACATGGTGGGAACTTGCTGTGTGTTATAATACATGTTGAATTAAGCTGGAGTTGTTACTTTACATAATAACCAAAACAATTCTAACCACAACAAATGTTAATATTGAATTCCGTTCCTACATCTGTACACTCAGCTATCATTTATCTCACTGTAGCCAGCAGCTGCCTCACGGGTTGTCTTTGTGCTGACTGATAACAAACAGTTCCGATGGCTGAGGCTGTTATTTCTTAATGGTAAACAAAGAGGAAACTTTTATAAGTGGAAAATTAAAAAGAAGAAAGTGAATATGTCTGTAGTCACTGTCTATGTGACTGCTTGACAATTTATTATGTTAAGTTAGTTGAACTGGTTTTCTCAAGTTCAGTTCACTTAACTAATTTTATATTTCTATCATTCATAATATGACTTTGAACTAAAGTACAGCAAACTCACATTTTTAAAGCAGCAGTGGAACTTTGTGAGGTGATTGAATTTAAAATGATTTACAGTGTGCAATACTGTCCTACCAGTAACAACTAATGATGTGAAGCTGATTGAGCTTTAATAAGTTAATGCTGCAAACAAACAAACCTTAGAAAATTCTAAGTTAATACTGAAAGCTTGTCAAGGGTCTCTCAAGCAACTTGAAAAAAAAATGCACATCTCACAACATGCGAACAGGAAGTCTCACAGTCAGAGGACAGGGTGCCTGCAGAGAATGACTAAACATTAGCATGGCAGTGTGGAAGGAGCTTCAAGGTGAGAAAACGCAACACTTTCATTGTGCAACTGTTTGACAATTGTGCTTATAGTAAAAATGATTGAAGGGTTTTGGTTCTGTACTAAAACAATCTAAGATTATCACAATTAGCACAATCACTTATGCTGCTTCGCATTTAGTTTTTGACATTTTAGACTGAAGTCGTATTTAGTTTACTAATAAAACATATTGCAGCATAATGAAAGTGATTACTAGCTGCAGTTCTTGTTGAAAGCGTCATGTTCTGTTGTGCCAAATGTGCCTTTAATAACCTATTATTATTATTTTAAAGTATCGAAGACCCTGTTTCCAAATTGATAAGATTTAGATGTTATCTCATTTGTGGGTGTCACTTTGTGCTAATGGCAGCTTCTACAGTTCATTTGTTTTAGATAGAGGTACCAGTTAAGACTGCAGTCTTTCACATTAGTTATTTTATATCTGTATTGGACAGCTGGAGCAGCTTGTGAAGATGATGATGAAGCACTTTGTTCTACATCTGTTTCATGTTAGTTCACTGCAGATGGAATGGTGTTTCAATCATGGAACTCAAGTTCCAGTTAAGGGAGCTTTTGTGTTGCTTCCTTACATCAAAGTTAGTAGTAAAACAAAAAAACAACCTTTCACCTTACTTCTGCACTGCCAGCAACCGCCACGGTCCAGCTGACAATATTTGAAGTGATGGCAGGCTCGCTGTCAGAAAGAACTTTGTTGACCCATATCCTGATTCCTGTAAGTTGACAGAATGCTGGTGAATCAGACAAACCAAACGGAGGACGACCTCTTCTCCTGCTACAGTCCTTCAGTTGTAGGCTACCACTACTTTGCTGTG